GAAGAGTTGTGGGATGACATCAAGAATATCATACAAGGTTGGGCTTCTGAATTGCTGTAGTCACCTCTACTTCTCTCCTCCTCCTTCTATGCGGACTCTGGCAGCTTTCTTGCCACAGTCCCTGAACTAGTGTTCTCCTTGCCATCTTTTATATTGGATCACCTCCATGCCACACAATGTTAGACACGGCTGTTTAACAGCTCCAAGATTATCACCAAGGACTTAAAGAAGGAGGAGGTTATGGAGGAAACAGAGAGTGGAAGATATGCACCTGCTAATGGGATCGCTAATGAGGAAAATGAGGAACAGAAGACTAACAGTGAAGTAGAGTAGGAAGAGGAAAAAGGTGGGGAGGCAGAGAAGGAAGAGAAAGAAGGTGATGATGAGGAAAAAGATGGAGCTGAAGATGAGGAGGCAGAGGCAGTTATGGGCAAATGGGCAGCTGTAGATGATGAGGATGAAACAGAAGACCCATGAGGATGACTAGACAGCATAAAGGGAAAAGTTAAAAAAGGCCGCCGTGGCCTATTCATCCTCCACTACCCTTCTCAGAATCAGAATGTGGTCACCTTTCAGTAGAGAGAGTCCCACCAGCCCACCTTGGGCAGTGCCACTAGAAGATAACATGTGCTTACTACCACCCAATTAAAACCACAACCTTAATTTATAATAGTTACAGAGTTCCAGGCAGTAAAAAGCTGCCAGGGGTAGGAGAGACGGGAGAGTAATTCACAGGCTAGAGGGTAGACACAGTGACAGAGATGGCACTATACAAGAAGAGGGAAGGTGGCAGAAGATTAATTAAGATAGTTGAAGACATAGGGAGGTATGCATGGGCTAAAGGAGATAGATATAAATAGTGATATATATATATACACACAACCCTGGAACAACAGTGTTCTGGGCATAGATAAATAGATTGAGACATAGACTGAGTGGTTAAGGGAGGAAGAGTGAGCTATATATATTTTTATATCCCACAAATATATAAGAGTTTGAAAGAGAACAATGAATCATTCTTTGATGGTTGCCAGGGGTAGAAGAGAAGGGAGAGTAGTCAACTGGTTATAAGGTAGACACATGTTAACTTGGGTGTGAGGAGGGCAATATACAAAAAAGACAATATACAAGAGGAGGGAGGTTGGTAGAAATATGATGAAGAAAGGTGAAAACATGGGGATCTAAAGAGGATGAAGGTAAATAGCAAAATATATACAATAAACCTTGGAACAATAATACTCTGTGGGTAGATACAGAGACACATGCTAAATGATTATGGGAAGAAGAGTAGAATGTGTATATATGTGTATGTATGCATGAATATATATGTATACATTTGTATGTCCCTTAGATATAAAAGAGTATGATAGAGGAAATTCGTGCATGAATATATGCCTTTCCTGTAAACAACACTGTGAATGTGATGGTGCAGGCAGCAGGCAAAAGATGTAAACTGGATATTATCGAACATCTTAAGGCAAAGAGTAAGTGAGCCTGGAGGCTCAGGACCATTGTCTCAGGTACCACTATGGTCAGTTGGCACAATATAACACACAAAGGCAGTGTTCTATGTCCTACTTTGGTGAGTAGTGCCTGGGATATTAAAAGTTCATGAGTGGCCATCTAAGGTGCAAGTATTGGTCTCTCTATGTGCAGAAGAAAGAAGAGTGATGAGAATTGAAGAGGCTTGGAATCAAATTGTCCAACCAACTAATGGATCATGTGAACATCAGTCTCCATGACCCTGAGACAAGAAGAACTAGATGGTGCCCAGCTACCACTGCCAACTGCCCTGAGCTGGATCACATCAGAAGGTTCTGGATAGAGTGGCATACTGTGTGGAACAAACCCCAAAACTATTAAAAAAAAAAAAAAAAAGACAGGGCTTCCTGGGCTCAAGTGTGGCAACAATTGTGAAGTTGGCCCAGGATTGGGCAGTGTTTCATTCTGTTGTGCATAGGGTCGCTATGAGTCGGTACCAACTCGATGGCAACTAACAACAACAACAACCTGGTCAAAAAGAGCCTGGAGAACGTGAAACTGTGGTCTTCGATCACCCTTCAGATCTGGAAAGTAACACCCCCTCTTTCAACCAAGTAGTAGATAGTTATATAGGGAGAACAACTTTCAGCTAAGCAGTAGTTAGGTATATAGGGGGAACAACAACTCTAGTGAGAAATGCTCACTATGAATGGTGGAACAGTCAATTATTCAAAATCAAAGGGGCAACATGTACATAACGACAATGTGGAGAAGGGATGGGAAGGTGGGCGGAAGGGAAATAGGAGCCACAGGAAAAAAGTGTATAATTGTTGTTCCGTAGAGGGGATTACAATCACTGAGATGAAACAAAATTTATTATTTGTTGAACGTAAAACTGATGATCTTGTCTGTAAAATTTCAATCAATTCACAATAAAACATTTAAAAAATACTATAAGGTTTTTATAGTGAATTG